GGTACTCATTATTTAGCCCATGCTGTTGCTGGGAAACAATTATCACCAGTGCCTTTGCAACACACCATAAATAATCCCTATTAATGGAGGTCAAATATTAACCGTTTACATGATTCATTTTATAGTAAAATATTATTTAAAGTTTTATTTACCAAAACCCCACGTAAACGAGAAAAAAAAATCTTACTCTAAAAGACATATGACTTGTACAATAGATTTAAATTAGAAGACAATCCGTCTTTAATTTTTAGGAGTTTCTATATTTGTATCTAAAATTACACATATCGTGTTTTTTTAAAAAAAATTGGATTTTTTAGGTAAACTCATAAATGAATACTTTTTAACTTCACTAACATAGGCCTGAATCTGATTAAAACTACATTTGGGTATCAAATTATTTAAGAAATTAGGTGGTTTCCAATTTTAAAATGGCTAGTAGTGTACTTTTACTTTCTCCCTAACCACTATTGTTTCAAATTTTATTTCAACAAATCAATTACTCAAAACAGTGGGTAGTCATTTGTGTTACCAAAATAAAAACTTTGATTAGTAGAGGCAGTTTCTCTACTTTATTTGTCAAATATTCAATTGAATCTGTCATTTTCCTCTTTTGTAATTTTATGAGTAAATGTTTGTGTCAAAAGGAATATGGAAAAGCTTCTCAGTTTTCCTTACCCTTGAAAAGTGTATTTAAACTCATGATTTTGCCTAAAATCGTGGAATCAAATATTTACAGAATAATACAAACTCAAAATCAAATCCACTTATGTTATGTAAATAGTTTAATATTGTAAGAGTTTTCTTGCCTATACTTTTACATTCGAGCTCTTCCTAAACGTTACATTTCAAGCTAAAGAGATGTTGGGACAATTTCGCATACCTCCCCTAAGGTTTTTGACAATTGCAAAAAGCTTCCCTAATGTTCTAAAAATTACACTTGCCTCCCCCATTTTCATTGTTTAATTGACATTCTAGGCCACAAGGCTAGACTTTTTTTTAGCAAAAATCCTAGAATGCGCTTGGGTTATAAATCACAACAAAAATAAAAAGGAAAAAAATGATTCACTAGCTCTACTTCATTCATTTTACGTGCTATTACCATTGCTTACCCATTAACATTCAAATCACTACCAAGTAAATACTCATCTTTGTTGTAAAGTCTCTCTTTTACCTAAAGACTTCTAGTGTAAACCATTGAATCAATTAAAAATGTCATATCAGATACATAAAAATTTACCTATAATCTCATATCAACCTCAAATTTTGCTTAATATCTAGCAATACTATACTCATCAATATCCCTAAACTCCAATTCCATCTTTCTGATACAAAACATACTAAGTCATTACCATAAATACCAACATCCAATATACTCAATCAGAATAGAGTTCAAAATCAATCAAATTCTCTCTGTAGGAATGCAATTGCTAATAACTGCAAATCAAAAATAGAAAAACAATGCAATGATAAATATATCCAGAACATTGCTTCCATAACAACCATAATATTATAATCTTTATTTAGTCCCTCTTCCACTTCCCATCCCCTAAATTTTTATTTTTTATCACCGCCACCATCTTCATCACTATCTAGTTTGATAACGAAATCATCATTTATCATTTGACAATTTCAACTTGCTAATACCTATCAAAAATTGAAAATAAAAATGGGCACAAAGAAGCTGTTTAATAGTAATGAAAAAGAAAGAATTGAGAATATACACTAAGAGAGGTAAGCACTGATGGTCGGTATGCATGGTGATTTTGTTGGTGGCGACAATACATATTAGATCGATGAGTTGAAAAAATGAATTAGAAGGAAAGAAGATATAAGAGGAAAGTGATAGAGAATTAAATGTAAACTACTGTAATTTGAGTCATCAGTTCATAATTGATAATTGATGAGAAATTTTTAATTTTTGTTAAAATTTTTCAATGAATTAACAATTAATGAAAGACATTGTTATCTTTTTATTGCATTAAGAGAGGTCCCGTAATTATATAAACCTTAGGGGAGTCGAGTAAAATTGTTAAAAACCTCTTACGAATTTATCCCATCTCGTAAATATGTTCTCGTTTACGTCATTGGACATGGCCCACAACTTTTAGTTTCTTTCGAGGAATTCTCCTCCCGTCTAACTGCACTCGGACCGGACCGGTGGAGGAAGTCATGGTAGTTCCTAACTTCCTACCTGGTACAAATTATTTTGGTAAAGGCGTGTGGAGAGTCAAGACCGCACGCAGGCACCTACTAAAGTTGTTAGGCACATTTAAGGTAGCAAGAATCTTCATTCATAAGCTCGTATACCCATCTCCAGTACCATTCTGCCTCTTCTCAACAACTGCAAATCAGAAGCTAGAAGATGGAGAACACCCTCGTCCTGTATCCAGCACCAGGAATAGGCCACATGATCTCGATGCTGGAGCTGGCCAAGTTAATCCTTCGCCACTACAGCAACAAATTCTCAAGAATCCACATCCTCATCACCACCGGCTTTCAAGCGGATTTCTCTTCTAATCTCAGTCCACCTGCCATTGCGTTCAAATTCATCCGCAAGAATGCTCCCAATGTCCACCATGCTCTCCAGGAAATTCTAAGACATCATCCATTAGGGCTCTGATCATTGATTTTTTCTGCACATCAGCGATGCCTTATTCCAATAATCTTGGCACCCCGGTTTACTATTTCTTTACTTCTGGTGCTGCAGCTCTTGCTCTTTATCTGTACTTTCCCACAATCCACAAGCAAACAAGTGAAAGCTTTAAAGATCTTGTTCAGACTAAGTTTGATGTTCCAGGGTTGCCTCCTATACCAGCAACACATATGCCTGAGCCAGTGCTGGACAGAGTTGACCCTGCCTCTGATGATATACTATATTTTTCTGTTCATCTCCCTAAGAGTAGTGGTATCATAGTTAACACATTTGATGAGCTAGAACCTATTGCTTTGAAGGCAATTACAGATGGTCTGTGTGTTCCTGATGCTCCTACTCCACCCCTATACAACATTGGGCCATTGATAGCTGAAGCTGATAGTAGACCAGCTGAAGATGGTGATGAAGGTATTGACTTGGATCAGAGTGATTGCTTCTCATGGCTTGATAGACAGCCGAACAAATGTGTGGTGTTCTTGTGTTTTGGAAGCCGAGGAACTTTCTCAGTTGAGCAGATATCGGAGATTGCTAAAGGGTTGGAAAGAAGTGGTAAGAGATTCCTGTGGGTTGTCAAAAAACCTCTAGGCGACTACAAAAGCAAACAGGTTAATGGATCAGGTGGTTTTGAGATTGACAGCATACTACCAGAGGGGTTTCTGGAGAAAACCAAAGGTATAGGCCTGGTTGTGAAGTCATGGATACCTCAGATGCAGGTGCTGAGACACCCTGCAGTGGGGGGATTTGCGACTCACTGTGGGTGGAACTCAATCTTGGAAGCCGTGGTTGCAGGTGTGCCGATGGTGGCTTGGCCGCTACATGCTGAACAGCATGTTAACATGGCTGCACTGGTCCAAGACATGAAGATGGCAATTCCAGTGGAGCAAGGCAATGATGGCATTGCAAGTGCGGAGGAGGTCGAAAAAAGGATTAGAGAATTGATGGATTCAGAGAGAGGACAAGAACTTAGAGAGCTGAGCAAGAAGATGAGAGCCATAGCTGTTGAATCTGGGCAACATTTAGGCTCTTCTAGTACTGCCCTTTCTAACTTGATTCGCGTTGTGTTTGGAAACTAAAAGCAACCAAAATTCCCCAATCCCTCCCTACATCTTTCAGTGCTCCCATTTCTTTGGCTAGACCCAAAAAGCTTCAAGTCTTTGAGCTGTATTTAGATAATAAAACATTGATTATCGAACTCTGTTGATGGCACAAGTTATTCTACTAAGTTGATTAATTAACTGATTCAGAACATTAGTTCACCTTCACCAGCAGCAAATCAAACAACTGCGCCAAGATCGTGTACTTTCTTTTGATTGATCTTTCTTGTCAGGTCCTTTTCTAAGCATCAGATATCAAAGAGAACAAAAACGTAACAGAAATCTTTCCTTATCACATCATGTCGCCCAATTTACATAGGACCGTGAAGCTTTCAGCCAGTATATTATTTCGCAAGGAAAAAGACCTACACTTCCAAAAGCTAGAAGACAGAAATGTCTTTGCACATATATACAGGCCTTTCACATCACCCACATCAATCAGTTTCAATAATTGCTTGTTACGAAAGATTAATTTCTGTGGAGACATCGAAAATGGTTACTTCTACCAGTTTGATCTTTGAAGCAACACTACATTTTGGTTAATTGAGATCCTCAAACGCCCATTTTGTCTATTCCTCAAGTTAAACTGTCAAACCCCAAAGCTTGTAGTCTTCAACCAATCTAGCACATAGCCTACCTATTAACACTACTATCACTATGTATAATCTGATGACCCTAACGAAGACCATACTGGAGTTTTAACCAATGCAGTTACTTGCATTCGTTTTCTTATGTAAAGACTCTATTAAGACATTCTGCAGCTTCAGGACAAGTTACAGAATTTCATACTAAGATAGAGAAACAAGACTCGTTTGTTTCACCAATGCAGACCACTTCTTTTCCTTTTTCCCAAGATTGAAGATTTGATACCACAGTTCAAAAGAGACTTGGACTTTAGAATGGACAACAATAAGCTGTTAAGGACAATCAGTTAACTTTGCAAGCCTAACAGGTTTACACATAAAACCACCCAAGTTTATAATCAACGTATCAAAAAGCAGGGTCCAGAGCTAAAGCATTACAGACACAAAAACATATAGACGGTACTTCGGGAAAAATAGTAACTATACCATTTGGTCCTAGGATACTGCAACTATGAGACAAATTCCTTGCTTTGTATATATTACTGCTTCAGTCTCAAATTGGATGTGTTTGCTTGCCGTTTTGTTCTCAAACAGTAACCTTCAAAGTATCAGTGCATTTTGTATTTCTGCACATTTTGAATGGAATTTCACAGATTTAGTTGCAGCAGATGCAAGAAACAGAGTAGCTCCCAAAGGAAGCCCCTTCACTTGAACGGGTCAAAAAGGGACATAAGTATGTCATGCAAGGATTACGTAATTGATTACAAACTTCTGGTACTACCAAAAGTTTTATTGATTAATATCGCCATGGTACATGCAGTCTTTATGGCAAACGAATTTCACCTAAAATAAGCAAAACATAGATAGTTTCCGGACAACATGCTTGAGCAAAGAGGTAATTTACATGATATTTGACATCTACCACAAAAGCATCCAAGAAAGTAGACTCGGTGGTAGACAGTGATGGCACTACGGTGTAGATCTTATCGTACCAAGCTCTTTTTTAAGTAGCAGCATCCACAGGTGTAGAAGAAACTGAAGCACAGTAGTGTACCATATTTTCGCTAATACTTCGACATAATTGCCAATTCACTTCAGTTCACTCGGAAAAAGTTCGGTTCTGCAATTACTCTTTGGCAAAGCATTTACATTTCTTTTGCTGCTCCTTGAGTTCCTGCCACATTTTACAATTATCTGTAAGTTGAAATTCTTGCTCTTATTTAGTCAATATATAATATCTTTAAAAAAATATACAGCTGTACTAGTGCATACTTCTTGTCAAGTTGTTTGTCCCTAAAGCATAAACGGTGAGAGAAGATGGTAACGAAATTTGTTATTATTGCATCCTAACACTCTTCTGTCCGGTCTTTTAGTCAGAAACTTCTCATATAAGTTTCACTTATAGACCAGTGCCTCCATTACCTGAATTTGCTTCTGTAGAAACTTGACATACTCTACTGCTTCTTCTAACATGTCTGCCGTGTTTGTTTGCTGCATGTAATAGAAGCAAAAACTCCCAACATCAAGTTAGGAAAATCGATACAGTCTTGGTATATATCTGTAATATAAATGCCTTCAATTAAAATGTAAACTCAAAGTGAGTAGCTCCGCTCTCAAATTGCTAAAATCTAATGCACAGTACCACATTTAGGTTCAATCTTTGAAAGCCACCCAGCAAACCAGATTTGGTTTTTATTTCTGCATTGACGGTCTTCTGATATATTTTCACAAATCCCAATTTCTCTAATAAAAAATCAATCACACTAGCATGGTCAATTACCTTATCCATATTGGGGACAAGTTCCTGAAGTTTCCTTATCCGGTCACTGATTCGTGTCCTTCGAACCTAATTCAAGAAATAAATAACTCTTCAAGCCAAATAGAGGAAAACATAATATAATAAAAATTTTCCCCAACTATTTGTCACTGCCCCACACACACACACACACAACCCCCCCCCCCATTGACGGTCTTGGTATAGTTCCTGAAGTTTCCTTATCCGGTCACTGATTCGTGTCCTTCGAACCTAATTCAAGAAATAAATAACTCTTCAAGCCAAATAGAGGAAAACATAATATAATAAAAATTTTCCCCAACTATTTGTCACTGCCACACACACACACACACAACCCCCCCCCCCCCCAAAAAAAATTGACCCCATGTACAAACTAATGACAGGAAACTGTCAATTACAAACTGCTAGTCAAAGTTTTAACACAAATAAAATGAAGCAGAACCTAGAATAATCGCCAAAATCTTACTCTCTCAGCAATGCTACGAGGATGCGTAGCACAACCTCGTTTTGCCCGAACCCTACACAGAACAGCATCCTCTGAAAGCTTTTCCATTTCAGAGTCCAACAATCTACCCATTCCAGCATGCAACTGCTCACTTTGCTCTCCTTTCTATGAAGTGCAAAACAAGTTTTGGTCACAATTATACATATAAGGGAAAGCTGGGCAGGTTAAGGTTAGAAGGTTAGATCATCAAGTTAATGGACATGAAGAGTGACGGTATCATCACTATCCACTTTGAGAAAAATGAAGATTTACAGGAAATATATGATATGCATATGTAAATAGACTGTACAAAGACAACAGGGTCAACGGTGCTTATTTAGGTTCATAAGCATACCATGTAACCAATCAACTACACAACTCAGAGGAAGTAGTTAGAAAAAATCCTCTGTTAAGTAATACGTAGTTACCTGCAGACCAAAAGGTACAACTAGTTAAATGTATTCTAGTGTTTACAATATATAGTGGAAAACCTCCTTTCTGTTTTTCTCAATTTGGTAAGATAGTTTACATTAAAAGAACAAACAGTAATTACTTCAGAATCCCACTCTTACTGTTTCAAAAGCCAACATGCTCACCATCAACATATACATCAAGTCAAGATTCATCTTCTAAAATATGACGTGATATATGTAAGCTGTGTGAGTTCTTTTTGAAACTTTGATTTTATATATATAGCTATAGAAACAAAACCAAAGACATATCTAGCAAAAATAGAAAAACATCCAAATTGACAATGATGGATGCATCATAAACACACATGTAAGCACAGGAGAATTTTAGGAGTGAGCCCAAAAAAGAAAAAAACCACAGGTAACCATCAAAGATCACTAGAAGTATTCAAAGTTACAAAAAAATCCACAATCCACGAATAGCATACAAAGAAAAGATCAAGCAGGAGTTTTGCTTTATAGGGTAAAGTTAACAGTGACATAATTGAAGGAGTTCAAAATCAAATTTAAAAGTATGTAATTAGTACAAGTCAATTTTTTCAATTGGCAAAACGCAAAAGGAAAATGCTGCACAACAATTTCGTACTGAACAGGCACCACCTTCCTAACTTGCAGCTCAAATTCCACCAAACTTTTCTCTGCTCTCCTAAACTTGCAATTCACATCAAAAGCACTAAACTCCAACTCCCTCTGAAGCAAAAGTTGCATGATCTTCCTAAATCTCATCGAATGAAACAGTTTCAGCTACTAATATTTACCTACACTCCTTGGAGCTTCTGCGTCTTTTACCTTCCCTTAAAAAAACCATCAAACAATGTCCATATTATAGATCAACCAAAAGCAAGATCCAAAGAGAAAACATGCAATTCAAGTTGCCAGAAGAAAGCATTTAGATCTCATAATTAATTTCAGATGTTTCCACTCCACTTCCTTCTTCCTTTCCTTTTCCTTTTTGCACCTTTCTCTCGATTTCCAATTTGGAAATTAAGTATGCCCACTTGTCAACTAGTTTCCACTTGAATGCTTATACTAATAGGTAGTTACTGCTACTAGCCAAAGCCTCCCTTTACAAAAATGAAATCCCACCAACTAACAAAATCAACATTTACCAAACAAAATCTTCAAGCTAATAAAAAACAAGAACAAAAGGACATGAATCCTTAGATATAAATGAAGCTAAACTGTACTCGATTATACAACATACCACTTGAGAAGAAGCTTTTGGAGATGGGTTATTGGAATCAGCCTCTCTGGGCCGCTTGGACGGAGACTCCGACGAAACGTCCAAAGAAGACATCAAGAAATTGTCATAATTGGCCGGAATCCCAAAATTCGAGAAGTACCCATCAGACAAAAGCTCCGCCGGGGAGCTATTCTGCCGGAGCAACCCACTGAGCCCACCTCCACCACTCCCCACCGTGTCCAACATCCCCAGATCGGCCGCATATCTACTACTAGCCGCGCTCGACTGCTGCTGCTGCTGAGTTGACTGAACTGGAGAAGAAGCCGGCGGGTGCAAAGGTGGCTTATTACTACTCGAAGCTAAAACCGGTGGGTCCAAAACGACGTCGTTGTCATCATCATTTTCCAATAGTGCTTCTAACCAAGTCGCCGGAGCTGAGCGAAACCGAGCAAACCCACCACCACCACCGCCTCCACCAAGACCTCTGCTTAATCCGACTCCACCGCCACCAGCCGGTTGCATCTGCCCTCCTCTCCTCTTATTCTTCAGCTACTTTTGTCACTTTTTTTTTTAAACAAACTAATTTACTAGTAGTTCCTGTGATAGTGAACTAACTACTAAAACCAGGGAACAAAAAAAAAAAAAAGAGAGAGAGAGAAAAAGATGAAGCTCTACTAGATAGTTCTCCCTGTACTTTTGATTATCATCATTTTTTTTATGGGATTTCGCTATTTATTTGGTTGGTTTCAGGTTGGATTTTAGATTGTGGTGGTGTCTGGACTTTTTCTTTTCTGGAGTGGAGGGTATTATTATCCGTGTTCATACAAAAGTGGTAAAGAAGGACGCTTGGGAGGTAAGTTTAATTTATGGTAAATATAGCTTTGTGTTGCATACACGTAGGGTGGTCATGTGTGTGTATGTCTACCTCATTTTACACGATGATGGGGACCATTGGATCTAAGCCTAAGAACACCATGTTTGCCTTTCAAGAATAATTTTTGTGGTGTTTTTTATTTCTTGGAAAAAAAATTGTAGTAGTATAGTTGATTTTTAGGTAGTGTGTATTTGAGATAAAAACTTAGTTGAAAAAAATGTTTTTGAAAAATAAGTCCATGCAAATGAGATTTTTTTATGAATTTTCTGCTGTGTTTTTTAATTTTCTATTATATATTACTTTTTTGAAGCTGTTGTATTTATTTATTACTGAATTAATATTTATTGGATCTTAATGAAACAAAAAAAAACTGAAATATGATGTTTATGAAGGAGAAATAGCAATATAATAAAAAGTGGGATAGAGAATGGCACAGGGTGTGGGACAAAAGATCCGTTGTGATCATTCTTCGTGTTTGTTTGATTTTGTGATATACACACAAATATATGGTTTCAGTTTTGATCTTTTGTTTATAAAGTTTGAGTTCTTTAATATAATTCAATGAAATTGCAGTTTAATCAAAGTTTTTTCTTTAGCAACATCTGATACAAAGATGTAACTACAAACTAGAAGCTGAGTAAGAGATAAGAGCATATATTTGCTAAGGAAAAGAAAAATTTTCTATTATAAGTTTTAGCCAATTTGACTATTGCAAGTTGTTTATTTTTTGTTTTTTTGGGAGGGGGGGGGGGGGGAGCGGAGGTGTTGGACAATAATTTACATGCAAATATGCATCTCAACTCCAAACTCTTATATTAGAATGCTTAAGTTTTGATTTTGTTCAAATCTTTGCTTAATTATTCAGTTATTTTCCTTGAATATTTCATTTGAAGGGTAGCAAGACACTGTAAGGTTTTTAGATATTTTCTATAATGGTGACAAAATTAAATTGACTTTTTGACATGGAGAAGAAAGCTTAAGGACCATTTCAAGATTTGAAGTCCAAGTTAGTCTTTAACTCTTCTTTTTCTTTTATATATTTCTTTTTAGTTACAAGGAGATTTTGAGCTTTTAAAAATGAGAGTTCGAAAGCAACACAAGAACTTCATGAAAATGGCAAGGGACGTAAAAATAACCTAAAATTTTCATAGCACATGTATTGAGCAGTTTGAAATCCTAATTATATTAAAATCCCTTGAATTTAACATAGAAGAATATCAAATTTTAAGAATAACAAGAACTCAAAAATTATGTCAAGATATTCCTCTAAAATCACACGGAATTCTGCATCCTTCTATTTTTAGTCTCCAAACACGTAATAAATGGTTGAACTCAACTCATTTTTGCACTGAAGGGTAAATTTTAAGAAATAAATAAAATTTTAAATTTTTTAATCGTTCATTCACTAATATTCAATACTCCTACATTATCACATGCCTTAAAGACAACTCAAAATTGAGAAGCCAATCTCTTATATGCCCTTCTTGGACAATTTGAACAAGCATATACCCGAAAGAATTGCAAGACTAATTCTAGGAAAAACAAAAGGAAAATGAAAAAACTAGTTGGAGGACAAATAATTGGTACTCTATTTTGAGTAGAAGGAAAATGAAAATACAGTAGATCACCTTCCAAACAATCCCTTAGATGAACGGTACACGCGTAGAGCACAATAGCCCGATTGGAAACGGGTGCGTGTACGGTTACAGACGTATAAAATGTCACTTCCGCCGAACTTTTCACTTCAATTATCAAATCGAACACGCAGCTGGGCGCGTAACTGCCAAATTCCAATTACGGATGGTCTGTTAGTGTAATATGGTCAACGAGATTATGGAAATTGTATTTAACGATGCAGCTTTATCTGAATCTTCTGGAAGAGGCTGTTTTCGGCTCCGTATTAATGGGAGATTTGGAGAAGCGAGTGAAGATGGAGCGTGAGAGAGGGAAACGTTCTACAATATCTCAAAGATTTATGCGAGGATGGGCAGTGTAGTTGAGGGTCACTAGCGTGTGCTTTCCTACTAGTGTTTATCACCGTCAATTTCGATATACGTGGTAAAAGGAATAGAGAAGGAGAGTTGTCATGGCATTTGAGTTTGGAGCAAACAAATAAGTTAATATTTAGGCTAGGTTAATATTTTTTTTGATGTTAATTTACGATGTTCAATGATTGTATTGAGTCGAACACTATCGGATTCTTTTTAGAAGAGTGGTTGATTGTATTGTATTCAACGACTGTGTTGGGTTCCGACTAATTTAAAGTCGAGCACTATTAAATTTCTTTGTGTGGATGACCGATCGCATTGAATTCCGATTGATCTCGACTCCTTTCGATGGATGATTGACTACATTGGGTCCGATTGATCTCAAGTCGAGCACCATCGGGTTACCGTTGGAGTGGCTCTCCTAATGTTATTCACACCCTCTACAAGATTGGAACCCAAAATTTACTCAAAGTGGTATGAAAATCAATGACACTTGATCCAACCACCATTGTCTTCTCTTGAAAAATAATCTATTGTTGTTGAACAAGAGAAGTATGAATTGACTGTGTGATGAATTGCCATGCCTAGGTTATGTCATTATCTTCTTTTGAAAAATAATCTATTGTTGTTGAACAATAGAAGTATGAATTGACTGTATGATGAATTGCCTTGTCTAGGTCATGTATTCTTATACAATAGAACGGCCACACGTGCATTTAGCGTGGCAAAATTGCACCCGTCGTTTGTTTAGAAAATATTATGTCATGGGTCATTCGATTAAGTAGCCTTAAGGTACAACAAATATTAGACGTGGGCTTTATGTCACTTTACAATAAAAGGAGAGTGAATGGTAGCCTTGCTTGGATTGCTTGTTTCTGTAAGAAAATATTGTCGTTTTCCGTGATCACATTTCACTATCACCTTTTTCCCTCATATATATCAAATCGCTACAGTAATTTTTTCATGAAAAATGACAGAAAATGCAATCCAAACACAACCTTAGGTTTTTGAAAAGTGAGCTCACCTTTTTCCTTTTTAGTCTTTTATTGTATTTCTGTAAAGTACAGATTAGACAAACCTTTACACTGAGGGTGCTCGAGCTTTTTATATCCTTGATGAAAAAGTACAAATGAGATACTCCCTTGGTCGCATTATTATTCTCCTATTTTCACCTGTTTTATATCTCAAAATAAGAGCCAACTTTTAAAAGTCAGCATAAATTTTTATTAGCTTTCTCATTTTTTGTCACTTAGAAAAGTTACTTCCCACATACTAGTGCAATCTTCAAAATAATAGAATTTAAATACAGCTGCATTGTAAATTCCTTCAATATTAACTTATCATTAATTACAAGTTCTTTAAAAAAAAAACTATTTTTTCAATGAAGGACTCAAATCATGGAATGAAAAGAGCAATAATTCATACATAATACAGATAATTTTTATGTCATAATTACATTAATCGGTAAACAATTGAAGTTTGAGTAGACCAATTGATGCATTGACAAATTAAAGGCCAATGAGAGGATATTTCTAAAGAGGAATCTAGTCCAAAATTGAGACCTCATAATCACTAGTCCCTTTCTTCTTTAGAATTCGATGTTCTGGTATCCTATACATAGAGAAATCATACCAAACATTCTGAATTTGGTGGTTAAACTTTATTACTACAATGTAAGGGAGGTCCTGCTGAAAATTTGATATACTTCTTCGCACAATTCCTTTAATATAAATTTCACAAATAAACCATTATGTTGCTTCATAATCACTTAACAAAGTAAAAAAAAAAAAAAAAAAAGCAAAGGATTAATTTATTTAATTCTTATGTACTTCAAATTGTATTAATTCTAATAGGGTCATTGAAGCAAGGTCCCTAATTCCGCTATCAAAATTTTGCTTTCACCTTACAAACCTCGCCCTTAAACTGAAAAAAAAAAAAAGTTATGAAATTGCAAAAAAGTTTTTCAACTTTATAAATGCTTATCATCAACCACAAAAATTTGATGATTAAGACAGCAGAACTCCAAAAATGGTCCTCATGCAAAAGTGGGACTTCTGGGGAAGAAAGGAGAGTGAAAGGTCTGGCTGTGGTCTATGCTGGATTCTTCATAGACTTTGCGTTCGGGTGGCAAAAGACTTGTTTCCTTTCTCCTTCAAAAGAAAGACTTGTTTCCTTTCTTTTTAGCCAACTTTTCAATTAATAGCACATCGATTGTCTTGGTTGTCGCAGACCACTTTTATGGCCAAGATTCGGGCACTTTGGGTGCAAGCTACTAATCAAAGGCTGCAAAATGCAACCCAAAGGGTCAAAATCCCTAATCTTGCTGGTTCTGAATCTTTCCTGTGGCGTATGTCTGGATTCATATAATCATCCAAATATTAAAACTAATTCGTATGTCTGGATTAGGGAAATACCGACTGAATGGATATATTTTTAAAATAAATTATATATATATTAACAATTTTTATATTATTACAATTAAATCTACGATACATATACATATGTAAAAATTGATTTTCAAATTTATGTCATTTATATTCAAGATTAATCCATTTTTTATGACTCTAGACTTCTTTAATGAATCAACGAGCACCAATTAAAATCCTCTAGATCCACTTAGAAACTTAAAAAGGGGGAATCTTTTTCTATAGAAACATGGCCTTTTAAAGATTCAAAGCTGACTGGTGTCAGGCGTAGATTATATATCACAGATGCAAGATTCCACCGAATCATCATCATCCAAATAACATGGGAATCCATCCCATCCTCTATGTCCCGTGGAAGTTACAATTATTTTATCTTTGCCTAATATTCTTCAATAAGCATGAGAAAATTCTCAAATAGAAGTGCATATGATGCAATTAGGCAAACCTCTCTGCAGGAGAACAGTGGCAGAAGTTGCCATGAGCCAGTACGGCATTCTACGAGTTTTTTAATAACCTTGAACTTCAAAAATCTCTATTAAATTTTTTAAAATATACACCTCAAAATATTTAAAAACACACAAAACTTTTTACTTTCTTTACCTTCCTTCCCAACACCTCAACCCACCATCTCCACCGTCGGCTAACACTTTGCCGAAAATGGCGGCTCCTCCACAAGCAACCTCCATCTTTTTTCCTCCTCCTCCTCCTCCTCCTCCTCCCTCTCCACCCTCTCCCTCCCTTCACCGCCTTCCCCCTCCCCTTGTAGCCTCTGGTCAAGTGAGCATAATTGTTGAGGAGGAGAGGGATGGAGGAGGGAGAAAGAGGGCGAAAGGAAAGGAAAGGAAAAAAAAAAAAGACTGTTAGCTTCGATCGCTATCAGAGGTGCTGGGGAAGGCAGCCGGCAGTGGGGGGGGGGGGGAGGAGGAAGAGCACTGGTGGGGTGAGGGAGAAAAAGAGGAGAGGAAAGAAAAAGAAAAAGAAAAAGAAAAAGAAAGAGAAAGTCCTACACATCTCAAAATATTTTTTCTACAAAATCCACTAATAAACTACAATAAAGTTTTATACAACCACCCAAGAAATTCACCATCCAACCGGATGTTCTAAAAGAAAGGTCTCAGTCTTGCTATTCAATCATCCAAAAAAATCTACATGCCATATCTTTGCTGATATAGAACTATGCAATCAGATATGACAGAATATTTGTCCTGAGATTTCTCTAGAAAACAAGGCTTCACTTGGCATCCATGGTTCAATTGCATTGAATATTTTCTCAAAGGGGCCAAGAGTTGGAACTCCAGATAAGAATGTAGTCACCGTGAACTGCAAGCTGTACTTTCGATGGCTGCAAAGAAATGTTAGGAAGCAATAAAATTTGGTACAGTGACAAATAAGGACGTAATGTATGTGCTTTTCTATGTTGCCTAAAGTCTTGATTACGTAATTCTGGCTAAATGAGAAATGCAGGGTTACTGAAATTTGGTTAAAAACAACCAGATTTGCGTAATGAAATACAGGGTTACTGAAATGAATAAGGTATCTGAAGAAGTATATTCAATTGCAGGCAAAAATGAACTTGTTGCTACATAGAATTGAGAACCTGCAGGCCAAATTGAAGTTGTTAGTACATAGAATTGAGGTATCTGAAGAAGTACATTCAATTGCAGGCAAAATTGAACTTGTAAGTACGTAGAATTGAGAATCTGCAGCTGCAGCCCGCAGCATCAGGACTACCTCCACCATTCGTAATGAAATAGCACAGTGATTTTCTCTCCTCTTGCATGAGAAATTGCAAGTCCTGAGGCTGTTTCTAGCAGCATGCTTTGTACTTAAGCACATACATACTCAAATTTGAAAACAGATTGACCCCAGACAGATAACAGCACCTGGAATTTCCCAAAGAGAAAGCCCACAAAAAAAAATAATCAAGAATTCAGCAATTGAAGGAAGAAAAGGAAATGAAAAAAAAATTCATCAAGAGAGAGATAATAATCACTAAACAGGAATAGCAATGTAATAACATCTATAATCTCTTTGCAAGCCAAGAGAGCTATACAACAGAGGTTAACTCAAATAATAAAACCCACCACAGAATTATTTGTAAAGCCTATACAGAGTAAAAAATTTTATCCAAAGCAAAAGGCGGTCTTTACCCGCTCGGACTGGGTACTGATTAGACTCGGTGAGATAGGAAAAAAACAGACGAATAGAGCGAGTCATCCCGGTTCAATACAGGAGGAGGACCACCACCCCCCCCCCCACCATGCCCCCGCAAAAAAATTTTTTTTTTTGCTCTTCTAAAATTGAAAAAAGAAACCGACGATAACAAGCCAAAAAAGGATGAACAGTAAAATCCATCGGATAAAGTTGTAATTGACACGATACTCAGGAATCAATTCAGAAAAAACAAAACTACGAAAATCCCATGATAAAACAAAATCCCAAAATGAATGAACAGTAAATCCACTAGACAACAATCAGCAAAGGACAATAATTGGCGCAACAGTCATGGAATCAAATTCATTAGATAGATGCCAAAACTTTACTCATCCACCGAGAGAGAAAGAAAGAGAGAGCCTCCGGCGAGTAAAGAATGCGGCTGCAGGAGCTAAATGAACGGGGATTCATCAGATCGGGGAGGAGAGGAGTGTCGCTGGTCGGGAAAGGAAGAGGAGAAGCGAGGAAGAAAGCCGTCCCTGCTTTCCGTCTTGGCCTCCGCCGGCGACTCTGCCCAAAAACGACATTTCTCACTTCAGCAGGTGAGTTCTTGACTCAACTAGTTATTTTGACCAATTTGACTGGAAAGACCTTTTGGATCAGTTTGGGCTATTGGGCTTGTAATTTGTGGACATTAAGGTTTAAAAAAAAAAAAGAAGAAAGATTTGGTCTGTTCCCGGTGGATTGTGGGAAAGATTTTCTTGCTTTTAATTGATTGGTTTGGTCAGGACAAACATGGAAGGAAGATCTGAAAAAATCTTCTAAAAACAGAATAATGTAGTCCAAATCCATTTGGTCTTCCAGTGAAGAGTAATGAAAATTGAAAATCTTCCTAATCTTTTTATAATAAGTATTATGTATTTATTTATGCAAAGAGAATTTATTTAAATTTTCTGTAGTTAAAAATGCCTAGTATTAATTCTAATGCTTGTCTTCCGATCGCCTTTCTTAAGCCATGTGGATATTATGTTACAAACAATAAATATTTCAACTAACATATTAGATTGTATTAGTGGTTGGCAATTTAATGTTTCCAAGTTAAATCACTAATATTTGTTAGTGTAATTAATTGTACTTATAAAAGAGGTTTCAGATTTAAAACTTCAAATTACGGATTTAATCCAAATATATTATTACTTGTGTTAAAATTGCTTAAGTTTACTTGTAATACTTTTGGACATTTTTTAGTTAAAAAAAAAAATTTCGATAGACTAATCTCCTTTGTTTGAGTCCCTACCGGATAATGTCAACCACTTGGTGTCACGGTAGTGCTAACTAAACACAGAAGAAAATTGAAAAAAATTTAGTAGATTACCTCCAGTTCTTAATGGCTTTAAGTTTGGAAGATTGCTGATGTCTCTCTTTTCCCGACTCTTAGTTAGATAGACTACAAATTTTTTCTTGATTTTTAACTGGTTTTCACGGTTGAAGAAATGTAAGAAATGAGTTTCTACTTGTGTGTGGTTCTCTCCTTTTCCTCTTGATTGTCTTTAGGCTACTTTAAGAAACTAAGGAAGAAGAAAGCTAAGGATAGTTTCTACCATTTCTCTTGGTCGACTGAAATATAGAGCACTAGCTCTGATTCTTCGATAATGAGTAATACATTTGCATGTCTTTTGGACAGTTGGTAAGGACAAATGTCCTACATATTTTGTTGTTGCTGTTGCTCTTTTTTTTTTTTTTTTTTTTGTTTACTTCCCAACAAAATTCGACTAGTATTAGAATTTTATGGTATAATGATACAATTTCTCCTAAGATATATTAATTCATTTGTTTATTAAAAGGAGCAATAAACATGTAAACATGCATTAAAGTGTAAATGAAAATTTTCGAACTCTCACAATTCAAACCTTTTTTTCATCCTAATCTATTTTATTTTACAGAAATTCCTTTCAAAACCAGAAAATTTTATGAACAAATTCTTTTAGAAATAGACTCCATAGAGCCTTTAACTTGATATCCAGATAATACTCCATGGATCAAGCCAAATATCATAAAATAAAAAGCAAAAGAATCATCAAATCAAACAACTGGCTAATATCAGGTTATCAAACCTAAAATTAATTCTTTACTCCAAATAAACCTGCAATTTACACTTACTATGATTACATAAAAGCATGGAGATGTATATTTTATTTTTGACCCTTCTCTCACTTTCGTTTCATTCAATCATTACTGTCAGTAACCCATGATTTTTCAATATGGTTCTACAATTAGTGGCACAATTTTGGAGGACTCTTTGAAATTATGCATTCAATTTTCGCGAAGATTATGACTTTCAATCAAAAGGGATCCAACTTTCAATGACTACGCGGAAAAACAAGTTGCACTCCATTATTATATCAAGAATAGAATTTCCTGAATTTTCTGTTGAAATTTTAACAAGATTAGTATTCAAGGAATTAATTATTTTTCCAGATAATTAAGAAATTTTATCAAGATCATTATTCATCCCGAACCCAGCCAATAAAAAAAGATAGATAACAATTCTCAAGAGACCAATTAGAAAATAGAATCCTAAACAAAAGAAGATAAAATGACATAAGAAATGACGTCAACAAGCACTCTCTTAACTCAAGCAATGACTTCAACAAAAGAATATTCCAGAGCATATTACTCTTACTTACTCTATATAAAGAGAAGCAGACCAGCAATCAGAAAAATAAGCAAGAGAAGAACAGAACCTTAGTGAATTCTTAGAAGAAACAACTCCTCTAATCCCAAAAGATAGTATAATATATAAAGGAAATAAGGGAACTAGCGTGAGGCTTTTAAACTATGAAAAGACTAATCTAGGAAATGAAAATGATGAAATAGAATATACTGAAGAAAATATATTACTAGAAGAACATATTGAAAATATAGATAGTATTGAGACAGAACATAAATTTTATATCCCAAAGAACTAGGAGTAAAATTGACAGAAAAAGAATTAATTGACCTAGAAGACAACTAGAAATTATAGGATAGATAAGTGTAACGGAAATAATATATTATGATAACCAAGGAAATATTCGGATAAAAGAAGAAAATGATATAGAAAATATAGAAATAAATACAGAAGAAATGATGGACACAAGTAGTAGTAGTTGTGCACAACCTCTATAGCAACCAGTAGTATATAACCCAGGAAACTTATCTAGACCAACATATAATGAGTATAAAGAACCAATAGTAAAATATAAACCAAGAGGTAAAAAACAGCCTCTAAAAATATTGGATAAAAAGAATTTAATAGATGATGGCTTAATATTAAATTTAATAGCACATGATTCTCAAATTTGGAATATCATTATAGACCATTGGAAATATAAAGTAGTTAGGCATTATATACAAAAAGGATTTGATCATAGTACTACAGAAATGTATACATATTTAGAAGCATTTTTAGGAGAAACAGTTAAAGCAGCATGGAAAAAATATAAAGAAAAATATCCCAATATATTAGCAGAAGATATGATGTTAGGAAATAATTTCCATAATTTTACAAATAGGATTCAATCACTATTAACGGCACAAAGTCCAAATAGAGGAACTCTAATGCAGCAACAAGAAGCAATCAGGAAATTAGAACAAATTAGTATTAGTAACTAGAATCAAGTAAAACAATTTATAAAAGAATATACATATCATGCACTTTTAGTCGGATGTTTTTATGATGAAGGAATAATAGAAAAATTAGTATTAAAACTCCCAGAACAATTGGGAAAAATAATTTATGAAAAATATAAGAAAATAGAATGGACTGAACCAACACTTAACAATATAATAGTAGTAGTAAAGTTTATAATGACAGATTTAGAAGAACGGCGTACAATGATAGTAATACAAAAACAATTAAAAGGAAAACATAGTTTTTGCAAAAATATTTATACAATACAAAATTATGATAAACCAGAAAAAAAAAATACAAAAAGTAAAAAATATTATCCTAAGTAGAAATATTATCTCAGAAAATCTAGAGTTAGAAAATCATACTTACAAAAAGAAAAACGTGTTAGAAAATATAAACTAAATATAAAATATATGAATAAATTAAGTTGTTATGCATGTGAAGAATAGCAGCTCGAATACGAGCTCGACTTGAGATCGGTCAATATTGAGTTCGAGTCAAGCTCGAATTAATCAAGTCGAGTTCGAATTCAAGTTCGAATTCAAAAACATTAAGTTTGTTGGGCTCGCGAGCTCGATTATATATATTTTTATTTTTTTATTTTAATAGTAAAATTATATATATATCTCTAATATTTTATTATTTATTAAAAAATTATTATTTTATTCATTTTTAAAAATAAAATAATTATTTTTTATTTTTTAAAAATAAAATAAATGAATCGCCTATACTAACTAGTGGCAGTCCGACTGCGACCCACTTTCTAACCTTTATGTTTTCTATTTAATTTATATTATTTACTTTTTTGGTTTAAGGGGCTAACCTCTCGTCCCGTCTAGTATCAGAGCCAAAGGGTAGTGGGAAGTGGTGTTCAGAATGGTGTTCAGAGCCAAAACAACAAAGAAGAAAATAAGAAATTTTTTTTTATTGTAACACCGGAAGCACTGTAGTAATCCGGCAAGTTACTGTGCAAATATGACAACAAAAAACAAACGATGTACTGTAGCGCGCACTGTAATAGTACTGTAGCAAATACTGTAGCAGGTACTATGGCAACACGAAAATTTTGCTATAAATATTCCTCAAATCCAACACAATAGATACACCATTTTGGACACCATTCTTACATCATTTTTCAAACTTTTCCTTCTCTGTAAACTTGAAGAAATTCTCCTCTCACTCTCTACAAACTAGTTTTATTTTAATTTTTGGAATCAAACAAGGGAGCGAGCCTTGCAAACTTCCCAAACATTGTAAATTTTTTTACAAACTCTTATTCAATCTTATTCAATCAAATGGTCAACTGAGCCGCCTCATATTCATATTCATTTACTTGTTTTATTTATTTTGATTATACTAACATTCTGAAGGCTTGATAACCTGTAGAATTTGGGCACTAGAATGAGTATTGATGTGTTTTTTGATTTTTTCAGAAAATATTGAACAGCTCTTCAAACACTTAAATACTTTCGTGCATGTTACCCAGAAAAATGGTATGGTTGTATCCCAAAAGAAAATCAGCCTTTTTCAAAACCAATATTCTTATCTTTTCTATTTTTTGAAAACAAACAAGTATGATTTTCCAACATGGTTTGTAGCATGGTGGAAAGCACTTGGATCTAATATGGAAATTCTTCCTCCAGATATCCAACAAAGTTACAAATTATTCATAGATAGATTTGAACTCCCAAACAACTATATACCAATCAGTCTGTACTTCTTTTCCATATTCTCGGTAACATGAGTCTACCAGTGAAAATACGAATACATACAGCAAACACAACACCCTCCATTATTAGTCCGACAAGGATATTCAAAATGGTGGCCAACATTCAATAAAAATTTCATTCAACCAGCAAACATCTAGGCATGGTTTCAGAAGAATCCTCGCTCAATAAAATCTGGAGACAGTCAAACAAGCCAGTTTTTGCAGCAGAAATTTATCTCAGCAGTCAAGCTGGTATCAATCACTGATAAACAAGAGTATATCAAACGATTTAAGATATACTTCTACAACTGGATCAATCAAAAGAAACTTTAAACAAAGAGAAGGCCTCCAGTTCTGGAAAAAAACTTGATGAATATGAAGGCCCAAAAAATGAAGATAATTGTTATGAAATTTTCTCACAAATTTCACAAGGTCACAAAACAATAAAGAAGAAAATAAGAAAAATATTTTTACTATAGCACCGGAAGCACTGTAGTAGTCCGGCAAGTTACTGTGCAAGCACGGTAACAAAAGACAAACGATGTACTGTAGCGCGCACTGTAGCAGTACTGTAGCAAAACACTGTATTGGATACTGTAGCAACACGAAAATTTTGCTATAAATACCCATCAAATCCAACACAACAGACACCATTCTTACATCATTCTTCAATCTTTTCCTTCTCTCTGAACTTGAAGAAATTCTTCTCTCTCTCTCTACAAACTAGTTTTATTTTAGTTTTTGGAATCAAACAAGGGAACGAGCCTTGCAAGCTTCCCAAACATTGTAAGTTTTCTTACAAACTCTTATTCAATCTTATTCAATCAAATGGTCGATTGAGTCGCCTCATATTTATATTCATTTACCTGTTTTATTTACTTTGATTATACTAACATTCTGAAGGCTTGATAACATGTAGAATTTGGGCACTAGAATAAGTATTGATGTATTTTTCGATTTTTTCAGTAAATATTGAACAGCACTTCAAACACCTAAATACTTTAGTGCATGTTGTCCAGAAAAATGGTATGGTTGTATCCCCAAAGAAAATCAGCCTTTTTCAAATGAATTAAACCAATATTCTTATCTTTTCTATTTTTTGAAAACAAACAAGTATGATTTTCCAACATGGTTTGTAGTATGGTGGAAAGCACTTAGATCTAATCTGGAAATTTTTCCTCCAGATATCCAACAAAGTTACAAATTATTCATAGATAGATTTGAACTCCCAAACAACTATATACCAATCAGTCTGCACTTCTTTTCCATATTCTCGGTAACATAAGTCTACCAGTAGAAATACGAATACATACAGCAAACATAACTCCCTCCATTATTAGTCCGACAAGGATATTCAAAATGGTGGCCAACATTCAATAAAAATTTCATTCAACCAGCAAATATCCAGGCATGGTTTCAGAAGAATCCTCGCTCAATAAAATCTGGAGACAGTCAAACAAGTCAGTTTTTGCAGCAAAAATTTATCGCAGCAGTCAAGCTGGTATCAATCACTGATAAACAAGAGTATATCAAATGATTTAAAGATATACTTCTACAACTGAATCAATCAAAAGAAACTTTAAACAAAGAGAAGGCCTCCAGTTCTGGAACAAAACTTGATGAATATGAAGGTCTAGAAAATGAAGATAATTGTTATGAAATTTTCTCACAAATTTCACAAGATCACAAAACAATAAAGAAGAAAATAAGAAAAATATTTTTACTATAGCACCGGAAGCACTGTAGTAGTCCAACAAGTTACTGTACAAACACGGTAATAAAAGACAAACGATGTACTGTAGCGCGCACTATAGCAGTACTGTAGCAAACACTTTATTGGGTACTGTAGCAACACGAAAATTTTGCTATAAATACCCATCAAATCCAACACAATAAACACACCATTCTTACATCATTCTTCAAGCTCTTCCTTCTCTCTAGACTTGAAGAAACTCTCCCTTCTCTCTGCACAAATTAGTTTTAGTTTTTAGTTTTTGGAATCAAACAAGGGAGCTTCTCAAACATTGTAAGTTTTTTTACAAACTCATACTCAATTTTATTCAATCAAATGGTCGACTGAACCGCCTCATATTCATATTCATTTACTTGTTTTATTTATTTTGATTATACTAACATTCTGAAGGCTTGATAACCTTTAGAATTTGGGCATTAGAATGAGTATTGATGTATTTTCCTATTTTTTGAGAAAATATTGAACAACACTTCAAACACCTAAATGCTTTCCTACATGTTACCCAGAAAAATGGTCTGGTTGTATTCCAAAAGAAAATCAGTCTTTTTCAAATGAATTAAATCAATATTCTTATTTTTTCTATTTTTTGAAAACAAACAAGTATGATTTTCCAACATGGTTTGTAGCATGGTGGAAAGCACTTGGATCTAATCCGAAAATTTTTCCTCCAGATATCTAACAAAGTTACAAATTATTTAAAAATAGATTTGAACTCCCAAACAACTATATACCAATCAGCCTGTACTTATTTTTCATATTCTTGATAGCATGGCTCTACCAGTGGAAATACGAATACATACAACAAACACAGCTCTCTCCATTATTAGTCCGACAAAAATATTTAAAATGATGGCCAACATGCAATAAAAATTTCATTAAACCAACAAACATTCAGGCATGATTTTAGAAGAATTCTCGCTTAATAAAATCTGAAGGCAGTCAAACAAGCCAATTTTTGCAGCAGAAATCTATCTCAGTAGTCAAACAAGCATCAATCACTGATAAACAAGAGTATATCAAACAATTCAAAGATATACTTCTACAATTGGATCAATCAAAAGAAATTTCAAACAAACAGAAGGCCTCCAGTTTTTGAAATAAAACTCGATGAATATGAAGGCCTAGAAAATGAAGATAATTGTTATGAAATTTTCTCACAAATTTCAAAAGGCCACAAAACAACAAAGAAGGAAACAAGAAAATTTTTTTTACTGTAGCACCGGAAGCACTGTAGTAGTCCGCCAAATTATTGTGCAAATACGGCAACAAAAGACAAACGATGTACTGTAGCGCGCACTGTAGCAGTACTGTAGCGGATACAATGGCAACACAGAAATTTTGTTATAAATACCCCTCAAATTTTACACAATAGATGCACCATTCTTACATTATTCTTTAAGTTTTTTCTTTTCTCTAGACTTGAAGAAACTCTCCCCTCTCTCTCTACAAATTAGTTTTAGTTTTTAATTTTTAGAATCAAACAAGGGAGGGAGCCTTGCAAACATCCCAAACACTGTAAGTTTTCTTACAAATTCATATTCAATCATATTCAATCAAATGGTCTGCTGAACCGCCTCATATTCATATTAATTTATTTATTTTAATTATATTAACCATACATGGCTGGTTCGACCGCCTATACTAACTAGTGGCAGTCCAACTGCGACCTATTTCCTAACCTTTATGCTTTCTATTTAATTTATATTATTTACTTTCCTAGTTTAAGGGGCTAATCCCTCGTTCTGTCTGGTATCAGAATCAGAGGGAGAAGTGGGGTGATGGCTATCTTTCTTTACTTATTATGATATTATTAGTGTAGATCTACAAGTTTATATCTTTCTGATGAGATTGCTTGGTAATGGCTATCTTTCTTTACTTATTATGATATTGTTGGTGTAGATCTACAAGTTTATATCTTCCTGATGAGATTACTTAATTTCGTGATTACCATATTTCTTTATTTATGATGTTGCTATTGTTGATCTATAAGTTTAAATCTCTCTGATGAGACTAGTTAATTTCGTGATTACTATCTAATGTATTCAAATTTATTATAGTATTGATAGTATTGATTTTATGATTTTAGATCTGTCCAAGGGACATGGAGCCTGTAATTGATAACCTCCGGTCCAGGCTGAGCCATGAGATTTGGCAGTCCTGTAAAGATGTTAAGATTCCTGTGATCCGAGATCCAGGACGGTAAAGTGTCAAAAGATCAGATCTGATTTCATGAATTTTTACTATCTATATTATGATTTCATTTAAACTAGAATGTTAGATTCTTGATTTAGTAAATCTTTATGGTTTGATAGATTTATGGGAGAATTTGGTAGATCTATAAATTTGTTTTCCAAAATTTTTTGCGGATCTGATAGGTTTATAGATTCTAATATGAATTCATAATTTGAAAAAGATTTTGGTGAATTTACTGAGTTTATATGAATTGATTTTGATGGATCTATTAATTCTGCTGGGAGTTCGTGAGAGGATTCATGGTTTGTTTGAGATAGATCTATGAATAGATCTAAGGGTTCTTGTATAAAAGTTGGTGTGTTTATAGTTTTTGACATAGAGGATGCATGTTTTGAAATATTTTGGACTGAATTTTTGAGTTCTGTTGTGGACTCTTGAGAAGTTTGAGACTCATACCAGTCAAAGAAATGAATATATTGTTTTGTTTTTCTTAAAAAGTCATAAAAGTTTTCTCGTATATTTTTTCGGATTTCTCCCTGATATTTGTCAAAAAATTATTTTCTTTTAAGATGATTGTGGTTTGCAAAGAATTCCGATCTAAGGTATTGTTTGTCAATCCAAAATTCAGAAGGTTTGTTTTCTAGTTTTACTTGAATAAGGATTGATTGCTCAATTCGAGCAATTCTGGTTTAAAGGTCATCTAGTGGTTTATTGTTTAAAGAAGAAATGGGAGATCTGGAGTTTGTCTTGAAAAATGAAGCCATAAGCAGAGACAAGTTAAATAAATAAATAATTAGACAAATAAATAATTTAAACAATTTATAATCCTCTTCCCTTTGGCACAGAATCCTTCGGGATCCATGGAGGATAACAATTTTTCTAAACCGATTATAACAAAGATAATGAGGGAACTACAAGAAAAGATATAACCTTTTGAAAAAGATTAACTATATATGATGACCATATTTTCATCATAATAAAGATAGTGATGAGGCTACAAGAATGCATCTAACATTTGAAAAATATTAACTATGCATGACGACTATATTTTCAAACGAAATCATAATATAGATAGTAAAAATTCATGAAATCAGATATGATTTTTCGACACTTCACCGTCTTGGATCTCGGACCACAGGAATCTTAACATCCCTACAGGACTGCTAAATCTCATGGCTCAACTTGGACCGGAGGTTAGCAATTACAGACTCCATGTCCCTCGGACAAATCCAAAGTCAAAAAATCAATACTATCAATAATATAATAAATTTGAATATATTATATAGTAATCACGAAATTAATCAGTCTCATCAGAGAGATCTAAATTTGTAGATCTACGCTAGCAACATCATAAATAAAGAAATATGGTAATCACGAATTTAAGCGACGGAACGAGGGGTTAGCCCCTTAAACCATGAAAGTAAATAATATAAATTAAATAGAAAATATAAAGGTTAGGAAGTGGATCGCAGTCGAATTGCCACTAGTTAGTATAGACGGTTGAACCAGCCATGTATGATTAGTATAATCAAAATAAATAAAACAAGTAAATGAATATGAATATGAGGCGGTTCAAACGACCATTTGATTGAATAACATTGAATATGAGTTTGTAAGAAAACTTACAATGTTTGAGAAGTTTGCAACGTTCGCTCCTTTGTTTGATTCTAAAAACTAAAAACGAAAACTAGTTTGTAGAAAGAGAGATGAGAGTTTCTTCAAATCTGGAGAGAAGGAAGAACTTGAAGAATGATGTAAGAATGTTACTCAGAATGGTGTGTGAATTCTGCTGATTTTGAGGGATATTTATAGCAAAACTTTCGTGTTGTTACAGTACCGCTACAGTGATTGTTACAGTACTGCTACAGTGTGCGCTACAATAAATCGTTTGTCTTTTGTTGCCATGTTTGCACAGTAACTTGTCGGACTGCTACAGTGCTTTCGGTGTTATAATAAAATAATTTTTTTGAATTTTGTTTCGATTAAGTCAGTTGTTTGTATTTTTAGCAGATTGTTACAGATAACTCTTGTTTTGTCTCCTGAATCATTTTGACATATTTAGGTGTTTGTATTTCTCATTCCTTGAGCTAATGTTTGTTCAGAATTAATCTTTGAATTTTTCTCCGTTTCATGAAGCTTTGATCTTTCAAGTTTCGGACGGTATTGTTTGTTGATTTTGTAGCAATGTTGTCATGTTCATGCCTGAAATATGGGGGGATTCATTATCTAGTCTTTGTGTTGTAGAATACAACATCAAAGCATCTGATCTTGTCTTTCCTACACTACTGTTTATATGAATAATAATCTTTTGAAATATACAATATTGTACTATCAGCAAGCTTGGTTGGCTTCCAGTTGCTGATTTTTCTAAATGTTGAGCTCGTCATTTTCCTGCAAAACAGAATTTGTTAGTTTAAATGGTTTAGGGAAGGGTAAGATAGCATTAGGATCAAGGAGTTGAGGTATTATGCCCTCTTCTGTGGTTAGGTAAGGAATTAGTTGTCGAATAAAGGACATTCCTAATATGACATTGTTGGTTAGTTTTTTGGCTAGAAAAAAGGAATTTGGGATTGATGCAAAGGAGAATTGGATCTGAATATTTATTAGTTTGAAACTAACTTCAAGTTTAGCTCCATCAGCTCCTCTAAGAACTTCTTTGATTTTTTAAAAAAATTAGGATGGAACAAGATTTTCAAGAATACAGTTTTGGTCTGTCTCAGTGTCAAATAAGGCTTCAGTTTCTATTACGTAATTATTGTTAATTAGTAA